AAGAGTTGGAGGGGAGGATCGAGTCTTGGGTGAAGAGTTGGAGGGGAGGAATGAGTCTTGGGTCAAGAGTTGGAGGGGAGGATTGAGTTTTGGGTGAAGAGTTGGAGGGGAGGATTGAGTTTTGGGTGAAGAGTTGGAGGGGAGGATTGAGCCTTAGGTGAAGATTTGGAGGGAGGGGAGGATTGAGTTTTGGATGAAGAGTTGGAGGGGAGGATTGAGTCTTGGGTGAAGACTTGGAGGGGAGGATTGAGTCTTGGGTGAAGAGCTGGAGGGGAGGATTGAGTCTTGGGTGAAGAGTTGTTTGGAAAACAAAGCTGAACAGAAAACCAGGGCATCATCAACACTAATGAGTAATTTTTTTCTCTATAAAATAAAAATTTAGATTAATAAAAGGAATGACAAATTTTGAAAAGCAGGCAAACACCACAAACTCCAGGAAAAAAAGTCCTGACATTTTTACGAAGTGCCAGACACCTTCACTGTTAGAATACTCTATCCTCGGCCGGGTGCAGTGGCTCACGCCTGTAATCCTACCACTTTGGGAGGCCAAAGCGGGCAGATAACCTGAGGTCAGGAGTTTGAGACTGTGATATTGTGCTGGCCTAGAGCCAGAACCTGAGCAACGCCATCTTTATAAAATGCAAAACTGTTTTTTAAATAAGTTGCAAGACTGCCCCATTCTCCTCACAATAACTGCTGGCCTTGGCTTCTGTAAATAGAACTGCTAGTTTGTTCTGCAAACTATGTAAAGCTGCTTACCTTTTCTTGTCAGTAACTGCCAGAATTGCTAGCCTTTGCTTACCGGTAATAACTAAAATAAGCAGCCCAGGCTAATTCCATCCTGGCTCTTGTGTCTTGTAATAAGTAACTAAGATCTGTGACTTCTATCACCAGCCAGACAATGTGTAAACAAATGTTTATCTTGACTTCTGTAAACCACTGAAGTAACAAACAGAATGACAAAAGTCCCCTGGCCCTTGGAATGTCAGGAGACCCCCACCCTCGTCTCCGTCCAGGAGGTGATTTACAGAATCCATTAGCCCTTGGAATGTCTGAAGCCTTTTCATCCCCATCCCTGCTCCTCACCCCCCCCACTCCCAAGGTGGTTTTTTGGGTATAAAGAGTCTTGGCACCCTCCTTTCGACGCCACAGGTTGGAGAGACGTGAGTCCTCTGTGGTCACCGGCATAATAAATGACCCTGCAATCTGGCATACTTTTGTCTTGGTGCTAACTTTCTATGCTCGGTCCAGTACAACAAGACCAGTCTGGCCAACGTGGTGAAACCCCATCTCTATTAAAAATACAAAAATTAGCCAGGCAGGGTGGTGTGCGCCTGTAGTCCCATCTCTACTAAAAATACAAAAATTAGCCAGGCATGGTGATGCACACCTGTAGTCCCAGCTACCCAGGAGGCAGAGGCAGGAGAATTGCTGGAACTCAGGAGGCAGAGGCTGCACTGAGCCAAGATTGCGCCACTATGCTGCAGCCTTGGTGACAGAGCGAGAGTCCATCTAAAAAAACACACAAAACTCTGCCTCCCCATGTTTTTTTGGCTGCAGACTCTTTGATCACATTTTCATGTGACAGTGATTTTATAATATTTCCTATGGAGAGAACAGAAAGACAATTCTGTCTCTCCTTTGGCAGTAGGCATATCCCTGTGAGGTAGGAGAACAGCAGGACTTTTCCAAGCACAGGTTAAAACCCTGCTGATTAAAACAGGACATAACAATTACAAAGAATGACCCAAAACCAGCTTGGATTAAGAATTATAATGCATTTGCATAAGATACACCCACCAGGGCCATGACAGTTTACAAAGGATGCCATGGCGATAACCCAGGAATGACCTTATATGGCTTCAGAAAGTTCATGAATAACCCACCCCTTATTTAGCATATGATTAACGGTGGGAATAAACAGCCAGCATTCCTGGAGTGCTACTCTGCCTATGGGGTAGCCCGGCTCTGTCTATGGAGCAGCCATTTTGCAGTACACTGTTGCTTTCTAAACTTACTTTGCTTTTAGTTTTGTCTGTCGGCTCACTCTTGAATTCTTTCCTGAGTAAAGCCAAGAGCCTCCCCACCAGCTGAGTCCTAATTTGGGGGTTCACCTGCCTCAGCCAGAAGCCATTTATGCACTAAGACAACTATAGCAATTTAAGTAGATACAGAAGTGACTTCAAAGCCCAGAAAACTATCCCACTAAACCCATGCAAGATGATCCCCCAATTTTGCCTTGGAAGCCTCTTAACATCTCTGCGGTGAGGGGTTTGTAAAGCCCCATTTTATAGATGAGGAGACTGAGGCTCAGAGAAGTGACTCACACAGGGTCCCACAGCCAGAAGAGACAACGTGAGCTGGGATGTCAGCTCCCTTCCTGGACACGCCCCTGCCCAGCGAGCCATGGCACTCACATGCATGAGCTCCATGATTGCCACCAAGTCAGACACAGAGATATGGGACCCAGTAAGGAAGGCCTGGTCTGCAGGAACTTGTCCAGCTCAGCCAAAGTGGCTGCCAACATCTTGGGCTGCACTGAGTCACCCAGGAACACAGGGATTATCATCTGATGGGCCAACAGGCAGAGAGAGGGGTCAGGGTCTGCCCAAAGCCCATCCTGGTTCCCACCCTCATCCTAACATCACCAGTCCTTTGGATTTCTGCTCATCTCTGCCAACCCCTTTCTACTCATGGCCACCAGCAGCCTCATCTCCTACTCAGACACGGACAGCCTCCTCTTCTCCCTGGGTCCTCATACAAGGCAACCAGTGGGATCCTTCTGCAATCTCAATCTGCCCATACCCTCCCTTGCATAAAGCCTGCCATGGCTCCCCACCACCCTCACACAAAGCTTCCCCAGTGCAGTAGCCATCCCTACCCACTTCTCACTCCAACTGCTACTGCCCCCCATCTTGGTCAGCAGGGCCTAAGTGCCCAGCTGGGACAGGAAGCTGAATAACACGGGCCAGCCTAGAGCCCAGGAGGAGGCTAGAGGGGTCTGACCTATGGATGGGACTGGCTGGGGATGGAGGGTGAATGGCAGCTCCAGGGAGTTGTCCTTGACCCTTGCTTCAAGGAGCTGGACACAGGAAGGGTGGACCACTGATGAGTCAGGGTCTGTGATCCAGTGACTAGCAGAGAGGCCTCCTCTTCCCTGATGCCTCTCAGATACAGGCCTCAGAACGCTGGTACTGGGATTTTGGGGTGGGGGAGGGCACAGACCTCAGAGAACTCAGGGTACTCCCCACTCACCTCACTGATCTGCCCCGCAGGCCAGCGGCACAGTGATGCCTTTGCCCAGGTGAACCCCCTAAGGAAGGTGTGAGCCTTGAAAGACGAGGCCTTCACCTTGGCTGAGAGGTAGTAGGTCCCTGGGCTGCTGCCGGGCCTTGTGGGGCCAGTTAGCCTTGTCTGTCTGCTCACTGTTGATGGATGGATCATGGATTGTGTGCCCTGCACAAGTCCCAAGACGAAAAATGGGCTGAGGCAAGCAGAGGTTCCCAGGGTTGAGAGGGGCTGTAGAAGTACCCTCCTGCATTGTACAAATGAGGAAACTGAGGCTGGAGGAGGGAAGGGGCTTGCACAAGGCCACAGGACTCAATCTGCTTCCAGGCCTCCTCACCACTACCCAACTCTCAGAAGGAAGGAGAGTACTACGTTTTTAGCTTCCTATCCCAGCTGGGCACTTAGGCCCTGCTGACCAAGCTGGGCGACCTGTCGACACCCCAGAGTCCCTGCTAGACATGTCCCAGCCCTCAGCCCAACCTCATTCTTGCTGGGAATCCCTGCCCTGTTCAGCCATGCAGCCTCCAGTGGCTCAGCTCTTCTTCCTTTCTATGCCAGACTCTCAAGGCTCCCTCCCCACTGGGGGCTCCCAGGCCTGACTCACTTCCAGCACCCCAATCCTGTGCTGGAGGCTGCATTAGGTGCCTGGTTAGTGTGTTTGGATCGGAGGGCCTCAGTCAAGCCAGGCTGCAGTCTGATCACAGGCCTACCCGTGGGCCTCTTTGCCCTTCTACAGAATGGGCATGCACACCCTGCCCATTCTCCCTCCACAAACTGCCTCTGTGTCCAGCCCCGGTTCTGCAGCAGGTGGCTCCAGCTGGTTGTACCAAGGGCAGCAGTTGGGAAGGTTCAACTGAGCAGGGGCCTCCTTCTGGCCTGCCCAGGGGCTCTGGATCTGCTCTCTGCCCTACTGCTCAGTTATAGCCCTGGCTCCGCCATTGAATTCGGCTCCAGCTGCATCTCTCTAGGCCAGCCAGACCAGCAAACCCTGCAGCTCCGGGTGAGGGTACTGGCCTCCTGCCACACGGCCCTCCAGCCTCTAGGGGTAACCCCTTCAGCTGGATGAGAACCCCATGGGATAGAGCAAGTCCGATACAGGGGGAAAAAAAAAAAGCAGAAGAATGGCAAGAAATACAAAAAAGTGGCAGAGACCCTGGGCCTGGCATGGTGATGCATGTCTGTAATCCCAACACTTTAGAAGGCTGAGGCATGCGGGTCACTTAAGCTCAGAAGTTCAAGTCCAGCCTGGTCAACTTGGTGAAATCCCCTTTCTGCACATATCAAAAATAATAATAATAAGTAGCCGGGCATGGTGGCATGCCTGGTAGAGTCCCAGCTACTCTACATGGGGGGAGGAAGTGGAAGGATCGCTTTGTGATATTGTGCTGTAGCGGGCCTAGAGTTAGAGCCTGAACAACATCATTTTATAAAAGAAAAAACTGTTTTTTAAAAATAAGTTGTAACGGCTGCCCCATTCTCCTCACAATAACTGCTGGCCTTGGCTACTGTAAATAAAACTGCTAGTTTGCTCTGCAAACTGCCCACTATGTAAAGCTGCTTACTTTTTTTTATCAGTAACTGCCAGAATTGCTAGCCTTTGCCCACCGGCAATTGCCAGACTAAGCAGCCCAAACTAATGCCATCTTGGCCCCTGCGACTTGTAATAAGTAACTAAGGTCTGTGATTTCCACCTTACCCAGATAATGTGTAAACAAATGTTTATCTTGACTTCTGTAAAACACTTAAGTCACAAACGGAATGACAAGAGTCCCCTGGCCCTTGGAATATCCGGAGCCCTCGTCTCTGCCCAGGAGATGATTTACAGAATCCACTAGCCCTCGGAATGTCTGAAGCCTTTTCATCCCCATCCCCACTCCTCACCCCCACTCCCAAGGCGGTTTTTCGGGTATAAAAAGTCCTGGCACCCTCCTTTCAATGCCACAGGTGGAGAGACGTGAGTCCTCTGTGGTCGCTGGCATAATAAATGACCCTGCAATCTGGCATACTTTTGTCTTAGTGCCAACTTTCTACGCTCTGTCCAGTATAACAGCTTGAGCCTGAGAGGTTGAGCCAGGATCATGTCAGTGCCCTCTAGCCTGGGCTACCGAGTGAGACCCTGTCCAAAACAAACAAGAAAAAAAAAAAAAGAAGAAGAAGAAACCAGGCAGGGGTAGACAGGGACTATTCACTTAGGAAACAAGGAGGCAGTTTCATTGCTTTTTCCAAGCACATGGGGTGAAGATATTCTGGCCCCACTCCATTCCCCTACCCTCCTCTGCACCTGCTCTGTTCCCTCTTAACCTGTATTTTGAAGAACGTTTTGTATTCACTACACAAAGATCATGCCTCTATTAAAATAGACAACCAGCAGGGCATGGTGGCTCATGCCTGTAATCCCAACACTTTGGGAGGCCAAGGCAAGAAGATTTGAGCCCAGGAGTTCGAGACCAGCCTGGGCAACATAGCAAGACCTCCTCTCAAGAATAATAATAAATTGGCCAGGCACGTCGGTGGGCACCTGTAGTCCCAGCTACTTGAGAGGCTGAGGCAGGAGGATCACTTGATCCTGGAAGTTTGAGGCTGCAGTGAGCCATGATTGTTCAGCTGCACTCCCGCCTGAGTGACAGAGTTAGATCCTGTCTCCAAAACGGAAAAATAATAAAGTAAAATAGATGCCACACTGGAAAGTCTGATTCTTCTTGTTGGTCTGCATTCCTGATCTGACTTAAAAGCAGCGGGGACAGGCGGGGATCGGTGTCAATATCCCCTGGGCCACCTGCCCTGCCAACCTGTGGTCAGCTCCAGGGTGTGAAGCTCGAAGGGGATGCCGTTCTTTTTGGCGAAGATGTAGACTGCACGGCAGGGCTGGGACAGCAGGTAGGTGAGGGCTGGGCAGGAACTGCTGGGTTACTGAGCCTGCGGAGCCGCTCGGCACCGGGAGCCCGAGCCCGGCCATGCCCTCCTCGCTCAGCGGTTGGCTCCAGAGAACTTTGTGCCAATCAGTGGCGCGTCCGCTCTCTCACCTCTCCTTCCTGGGAATCTAGGCTGCGGGTATCTTTCCCACTAAAAGGGAAGAGAAGAAAGGAGGTGCAGCAGCCTCCTTGCCCAGTGCCAGGGCCCAGTGCCCAGGATGGAGGCCAGAGAGGAAGAGTGGCTGGCTGCCCGAGAGGCTGCCAGCCCCACACCTCATGGAGGAATGAGCTGTCCCTCCCCAGCCACTGGAGTCATATTTATTACACTCCAGCAATCCTTCCCCCAGATGGCTGAGGCCCTGCGAGGCCTAACCAGAGGTTTCTAACAGTGCCTAGCATTGCACAGAACTTCCTATCCACTATTCAACGGCAACTCTAGGGCTTCTGAGGCCTGTGGCGATGACACTCACATTTCCCGAGGGAGCCTCCCAAGGTAGGAAAACCCTAAATCCAAGATAGAGAGAAAGACCGTTGGCAAGAGGATGGTTACTGGAAACTTGACAATAGCCTTGCTGCCCTGGTCCCCATGGTTCCCACCTGCCCCCTTTGTTGAGATAAGAGTCTCACTCTGTTGCTCAGGCTGGAGTCAGTGACATGATCATAGCTCATTGCAGCCTCGACCTCCAGGGCTCAAGTGATCAAGTGATCCTCCCACCTCAGCCTCCCAAGTAGCCGGGACCACAGGTGTCACGTCTGATTACTTTTTATTTTTATTTTCAATTTTTTTTCTTTGTAGAGACAGGGTGTCACTATGTTTCCCAGGCTGGTCTCCAACTGCTGGGCTCAAGTGATCTTCCTGCCTCAGACTCCTAAAGTGCTGAGATTACAGGCATGAGCCACCGCACCCAATCCCATGGTGCCCACTGAAGGAAGGCCCATCCCCCGCAGAAGTGTCTTCCTGGCCTAGTGCAGCAGCTCTCTCCAGACTGAGAGGGGCCACATTCTCCTGCCCCTTCAGTTACCTGCCCCTTTTCACAAGTCACCTTTGGCCGGGATTACTGCAATATCAAATCTCCCTGCTTCCTCCCTGGCTGCCTTCCAGTCCAACCCCCAGCAGCAGCCAGAATGTTATTCGAAAACACCCCATCAGAGCACTCCATTCCTGCCAACAGTTTACAGCCAGGCACCTAGGCATGGCATTTAGGCTCCTGAATGACTGGGTTTTGACCAGGAGAGCTGCTGTCTAGATTTTCTCCTCCCGACCAGTTCCTCAGGAGCGACACAAGACTCATGACTAACTGTAAGGGTCATGTCCTGGGAGGCCAACGCAGCCAACTGCTGGGTCGCCATGCTTACAGCCACCGAATGTGGAATGCTGCTGGGCCTTATGCTGTCAGATACTTACTTTCTCCAAGAATTAGAAGGCTACAGGAAATGTTTTGTTTTGTTTTGGGTTTCTTTGTGTGTTCTTAGAGACAGAGTCTTGTTCTGTTGCCCAGGCTGGAGTGCTGTGGGTCAATGAGAGCTCACTGCAGCCTTGAACTCCAGGCTCAAGCAATCCTCCTGCCTCAGCCTCCCAAGTAGTTAGAACTACAGTTATGCACCACCACACCTGGCTAATTAAAAAAAAGAATTCTTTTGGGCTGCGTGCAGTGGCTTGCACCTGTAATCCCAGCACTTTGGGAGGTAGAGGTAGGAGCATCCATTGAGCACAGGAGTGCAGGACTAGCCTGGGCAACATGGCAAGACCCCGTCTGTACAAAAAACAATTAACTGGGCGTGCTGTGGTGCGCATGTTGTCCCAGCTTCTTAGGAGGCTGAGGAGGGACTATTGCTTGAGCCTGGGATGTCGAGGATGCAGTAAGCCATGGTTGTGCCACTGTGCTGCAGCCTTGGCAACAAAGTGAGACCCTGTCTCTGAAAAAAAATTTTTGTTGGATCCAGGCAGTGGCTCACAGCACTTTCGGAGGCAAAGGCACGCAGATCACTTGAGGTCCAGAGTTTAAAACCAGCCTGGCCAACACAGTGAAACCCCGTCTCTACTAAAAATACAAAAATTAGCCAGGTGTGATGGCACATGACTGTAATGCCAGCTGCTTGGGAGGCTGAGGCAGGAGAATTACTTGAACCCGGGAGACAGAGGTTGCAGTAAGCCATGGTCGTGCCACTGCAGTCCAGCCTCGGCAACAGGGCAAGACTGTCTCAAAAAAAAGTTTTTTTGAACTCCTGGACTCAAGCAATCCCACCACCTGGACCTCCCAAAGTGCTGGGATTATGAGCATGTGCCACCGCACTTAGCCACGTTGGTTAATTTCACTACTGGCAAACATCAGGGAGAAGCTGATCCACAGGGCCTGGGAAGGGGGATTGTCTTTTGGATAGAGATCAAGACCAGGGTTGGGACAGAGGAAAGTCAAATAAATCACACATTTGAGTTAGAAGCAGAGGCTCAGGCTGAGACCAGGTTTATTATCCAAACTTAAAATGAAATGCAGTGATTAAAGGACACAAGGTCTCAGTGTGCATCATTCTCATGTGACTTTCAGGCAGCTGTGGAAGACAGGGTAAGGATGGTGGCCTAGGAAGCTGAGGCGCTCTGGGACTTCGGCAAGTCTTAAGCAAGCCATTCCTGCTCTCTGGGCCTGGGTCCCATGGGCCATTAGAAATTAAAGTGATGGCCGGGTGTGGTGGCTCATGTCTGTAATCCCAGCTCTTTGGGAGGCCGAGGCGGATGGATCACGAGATCAGGAGTTCAAGACTAGCCTGACCAACATGGTAAAACCCTGTCTCTACTAAAACTACAAAAATTGGCTGGACACAGTGGTGGGCGCCTGTAATCCCAGCTGCTGGGGAGGCTGAAGCAGGAGAATAGCTTGAACCCGAGAGGTGGAGGTTGCAGTGAGCCGAGATGGCACCATTGCACTCCAGTGATGTGCAACAGAGCAAGACTCTGTCTCAAAAAAGAAAGAAAGAAGGAAGGAAGGAAGG